AATAGACATGCATTAGAAATAGAATTTCAGAGGAATCTAGCAGTGTTATTACCCTATACTGGAACTTTACAAGGGGTAAACATGCATTAGAAATAATATTTCAGAGGAATCAAGCAATTTTATTACCCTATACTGGAACTTTACAAGGGGTAGACATGCATTAGAAATTGGATTTCAAAAAAATTTAGTAGTGTTATTACCATATACTAGAACTTTACAATGGTAGACATGCATTAGAAATAGGATTTCAGAAGAATCGAGCATTTTATGTTTTGCTCTTAAGCTTGTACATCATGTTGGTATTGTTTATTTTAAAGTCTAAATTTGGTTGGATAAATGTTACTGTTAGTTAGTAATGGGGTTGTGCAAGAGTACTATTGGAATGTTTATTATCTTCTACTTGTATATATGAAAATAGTGGCAGTGATCTTTGCAGTAACATTTAGTGTATTTTTGTGGTTGTTTTCCAGAACAATATCACAGTTTTTTGTCCAGGCTTAACAGATGGCTCACTGGGAGACATGTTTTACTTTCATTCTTTCCGCAGTCTAGGTCTGATCGTTGATGTAGTGCAAGGTATGCTGCTCGTTACTTTTTCATTGCAGCTGATAATTAACTTGGGAAAATGTAATCACAAGATAGCATGCCTTGGAATAGATATTAGGGCCATGAACGGCGAAGCTGTCCATGCAAATCCAAGGAAGACTGGAATGATCATTCTCGGAGGGGGCCTGCCCAAACACCACATTTGCAATGCCAACATGATGCGTAATGGTGCGGATTATGCTGTCTTCATCAATACTGCACCAAAGTTTGATGGGAGTGATTCTGGAGCTCATCCGGATGAGGCTGTATCATGGGGGAAAATACGGGGTTCTGCTAAAACTGAGGTATTACCTAACCTATGTCATATCTTCACTATGCCCATTCCCTTTTAGCTCTCATTTTTGTTTGCATTATAATATATACTTCTATCCACCAAATGCTAACCCTTCCAGCATTTTATCCCTCTGTTTAATTTCCCTCCTTTTGATTGGTTAACCAGGTACATTGCAGTGCAACAATTGCTTTCCCTTTGCTGGTTGCTGAAACATTTGCCAAGAAAGCTGTCAAGACCATGACTTAATATATAGTTTCATTGTGAAGATTGATTTATGATATAGAGTTTCAAGTAGTCGTGATGAAGCTGATAACTGCTTGATGGGGCTCAGCAGACATGATAATTACCACATTGTATTCAAGGGTTTGCAAGATCCTATGTAGGATTAAGAATACAGAAATTCACATTTTTCCCCTTGTGTTAGATTTTTGGTCTATCGTAGGGGTTGAGATGACATACTAGGGGAATTTACTTGTTATTTCTGATCATTTTATTCAAATTCAAGTTCGAACTCCTATATGAATGCTAAGTCCATTTACTTAAGAGGTATATATCCCTATTCTCTAGTTAGGCTAAAATTCTTGTCAAATTGTTATGTTCACCAAATTACGCCACTTTTAAGCCATTCCTGATACCTCCATGAAAATTAAAAAAATGTTTGGGCTTTTTTATAAAATTGGGCTGGGCTTGTTTTGGGGGTTTTTTGAGTGTTTTTTTGTTTTTTTTTTCTGGTGGCCATCAGTGGCAGTCCTGTAATTTATAGGAACTTCAACACCAATTTCTTATATGGTAAATGAATTTTGGGTGTGTTTCTAAAGTGCATTCCATGTGGGGTTTTTTTATAATTTCAGCTCCTATTTTGGGTATATTAGTGAAGCTCCCTTTAAATTATCACTTGTATAAAAAAATTTAAAAAAATTCCACCCCAAATAACCCATTAAAGACCCGACAAAAGAATAACCCATCCAAGAAATATCGAGGATCTAATTTCATATGGTTTCACTTATTATGTATATCCCGTCGATCATTTTCGTTCCTAACCAAATTTGCTAAAAATGTTTTCTTTTCTCCTCTCCTTTATTATTTTGAACAAAGAAGTACGAGAACTCCTCGTAAATCAAAATAATTAAGAATAGTTTAGATTCTCAATTGTATAAAATAAAAATAAAAATTACAACTCAAAATATGAAAAAATAAAAAATGACCGCAGCAAAGACTCCTTTTGGACCATTTGCACTACAGCAGTAAAGTTTCAGCTTTCCAAATCTGGAAAGGTATTTGGACCAGCTCCAACAATTGAACCAGAAAAGAAAAACTCACAAGATGTACAAGATTACAATCAATCCATGTATTCTATGATCATAAAGCCCCAAAAGTTTATCAAGGCAACTCAAACATATTCTTGTACACGACCACGCATATAGGCAAACCCGTAAATTCATCCAGCAGAAAATAAACCCCATACCTACAAGCAAAGGGAAAAGAAGGCCTAATTGAGGAAAAGAACATCTTAACCCTACTCATGTTTTTCTAAACTATCTGTATCGGACGCAGGCTTTTCAGTTTCTTCCTCAATCTCTGAACCAGCTCTAACAGGGCTGGTACTTGTGAGTACACTGTCATCCAAAGAGCCACCAGCCTGCTTTGTTGCCTCACTGCTGACCCCTGCTCTCAAAGAGCTCAAACTAGGGGTGATAGGCGTGTTAGAACCAGAAACACGCCCTTCGAAATGTTTTGGCTGATTTAGGGCGTGACAGTGTGGGCAATAATAAGTGATGTATGGGAAATCCTCCTTCTTAGCAAGCCCTGCATAGAGACAAAAAAAGTATGAGATCATTATTTCAACCACAAGAAAGAAAGAAAACTGGTTGTGAGGAAAGTGCATGAGTGTGCACCATAATCAGGCCTTTCCTTCACTTGCTTCTATGAAAACATGAAAAAGCAACAGTGCGTACTCAGGATGCGGATAACCTACCATTGTGCATATGACAGTTGCCGCATATGAGCGCATAAGACTGTGTTGGATCCTCACCCACAAGTAATGCTGCAATCCGAGCAATCCATCCTCCATCCTGTGGAGATGCTCCCTGAGGACTATGATGACTAACAATCAGTTGACTATGCTCAGAAACCTGATGACTGTCAGACCTTGCAGAATGAGGTGCCTCCTCTTCAGGAATAGTCAATGGGACACTCCCTGTACTATTAGATCTGGTGTGTACTGGTTTACGGTTTCGAAGTTCACCAGAATGGACAAGTTCAACATCATGGCTTTTCCCTGTTGAGGCATTAATCTCAGATTCATCTCCCACATAGAATTTCAGACCTGAATCTGTACCCAACTTAGATGCTAGGACAGTTGCAGCAGCTGCCTTTGCTGCTGGGTCAGGATCATATCTCTGCATAAAAGAATATAACTTAAGTTCAAACCAAGAAAACGGAGGGGGACAAGCAAGGTACATCTTCACATATACCATTACTCAAACACAAACCATTGCAGAGTTCCCCTAAAAACACAAATAAATAAAATAAAATAAAACCCAGCATAAGGGGCACAGGAGTCTTGTTCATTACAGTGCTTTTTTTGAAGAGATGCTCTCTCAAAGAAGCAAAAACTGATTCAGCCAACTACAATAGAAATAAGTATGCCACATGACTATTGCGAATTTGCAATCAATCTAAATGAATGGTTTCTTAAGGCCACTTTACATGACCTCCTGGAATTCTTCCAAACAGTGTTTGTCTATACAGCCATTAACACAGTCAAATGAGATGAAGGGGCAAAAGGCATCAACAGCTACCCTATTCACCTGATAAAAGTTCAACAAGCTAACAAAGAATACCAAAGAGAATTCAATAATGAAGCATAAAGACAGATAACGAATGCAATATAACAACAAAACTTGCTTCTAATAATTACCTGAATAAGCTGTTGAGTAGTGTAATAATTTGTCCTCTCTTTTAGTTCATCAATTTTTGCTTGCCTTTCAGCCCGAAGCCTTTCCAGGGTTTTGGCGTCCTTGCGATCACCTAATACATTGAAAGGTTGAGATATCAGATTTTTAATACATGCACACATCAACTTTACACAAGTAATGGTCACTAAGTTGCCGCATTAGATTGGAAAACTTGATTCATAGAAAAATAATGGGTTCATACAACCAATCATCCAAATTATTCAACAAACATTTTTAACAACAGCAATGAACTAATGAAAACGTCATAGGTCTACTTTTCTAGCTTTCTTCCAATGATCCATTACAGCACTGACATGTTGTTAGACAACTAAAAAACATGCCTGATGTTTCAGTTTGTGCTTCCTAAGATACAGGTATGCATGGAAGCTGTTAAGCATAAACTCAAAGCATACATAAATCAAACATTAACATGTCAAGACAATCAAAATAGGTACAGCCTGGAAAGAGACTTTTGCTCAAAGAAATATGCATGATATGTACCATATTGAAAACGGTATTGAACTTCAGACATTGTAGATCAGGTATCTTTTATGAACTAGCCACCCACGAGTACCGTGCCCAATTCCAGTTCAAAGATTTGTGAATTTCATAAACGATTCCCAATAAAATTCCCAAATTTCATAACGCTTATTTTCCAACAGTTCAAACTCACAACTAATAAATTTAAAAAGAACTTCCTCTTACATGGAAAGTGGCACACAATTAAAATACCAGTCAGCACGAAAAGTCCCCCTGTGAGGAACGATGTCCAAAGGACAGGTCCTCAGTGACTTTCAACAAAAATTGTCTAACAAATGACCAACAATTTAATGTGTGATGGGCCTGTGTGAGGGGACCTTTCTTACTCCAATGTCATACGTGGAGAAGCTACACACCCCATGCACAAAGAATGTACTAACAAATTCAATAAACAAAGTAAGAAGTAAACCACGGAATGATGAACCAATAAGCCAAAATGCTTCCTAACAAGCCCAACCCAAGACACTATGACAACCATGGAACCAGATACCTTTTGCAAAATAAGTCCCAGATATTAATAAAATAACTAGAATCGTCACATGAACATCAAAAATTAAGGAAGTTGCAAAGTTTAAGATACTCACGCATTCTTGTGAAGGTCACAAATGCTGAATAAGCAAGAAAAGATAAAGCAGCCAGAAGAAACATCGGAAGAATTCGAAATGTCCTCATCTTCCAATCTAAATTTGTTGCTCTCGTTGATATTATAGCATAAGCAATTGCAATAATCTGAAAATGACACAAGTACGCAAACACATATCATTCCCTTCTAATATTTCACTTGCCCAACTCGTTCAAACTCTATATGCCAATAAACATGACGATGAGTATGGTGCAATTTCTAGATAGTATTGCCACAAAAGTTCAGAATTCTTAATCAGCCAAAAAAAGCCAGTTGCTGCAACAAAGTCCTAATTGATGGGTCCTATGAATGACATTCCAATACCTCAAATAAGACAGAGAAGAGAATGAGATGTCTGCTCATGCGCCTCCACGTTATGGACCTCCTCTGCATTCTAGCAAGGACAGTGGCTTCTTCTTTGGAAATGTACTTGAGCCGCTTCTCGAAGTCATCGCCGTGTAATCGGAAGATCCCACTGAACATTCTGGAGAAAAGTCCCTTGCGCTTCTTCTTCGCAACCACCTCAGGTACAGTTGCCGCGTCTTTCTTGTTGGCTTCTCCGACGACGCCTTTGTCGTCCGCCATTATTATTCCCTTTCAAATTGCTCTTTTGAATTGAAAGCGAATAGCAAATCAATCATCAAAAAGCAAAAGCAATATGCAGAGACGAATAAAAAATCAAAATCAGATCTGGAAAATTACGAAAAATTGTGGGAGAGAGAACCTTGAAAGTAGAAACCAACCTTGGCTTTTCAGATCTTTGGGGCGGAGAAAGCGAGGGAAAGTAATGATGAAAGTCGACAAGGAAGAGAAGTCCGTGAGGGTAACGCAAACGCAGAGCTTTGATCGATGATGGAGAGAGAGAGAGAGAGAGAGAGAGAGAGAGAGAGAGAGAGAGCGTTGAGAGAGGAAGAGAGGACTATGAGATAGAGCTGAGAGAGAGAGAGCGAAGAGAGTGTTGAGAGAGAAGAAAAACTTACCAAAAATGTTATGTGACCGATAAGTGGGCAATATGTATTTAAGGGTTTTTAGGTTTTAGACATTAAAAAATTTTCACTTTTGGAAAAAGCCAAAACTTTTTCAAAAAAGACAAAAAAACCATTCAACTTTCAAATCAAAGACATGCAAATGTATTGGATTCCTTAGAAAATCTAAAAATAAATAAGGGCATTTTTGTCCACTTTTGCTTCTTTTAAAATTTTTCTCTCTCCTTGGCGATGGAGTGAGAGTGTCGAGGGAAGAAGGATGAAGGAGAGAAAGGGCGTCCTCTTCAAAAATGGGGCTTCGCTTTTTTTCTCGTTTTCCTTCTTCCTTTTTTTTTTTTTTTCGTTTTTTTTTTTTCACACGCAAATATTCAATTAGACGCACCGCAAGGCTTCCAAGGCGGGGCCGGATCACACGGTGAGTGGGGCCCACACCGGACCACGGACCCTCTTCTTTGGATCGCACGGCCGACCCCAACGCCAGCTCTCCAAACCGCGCTGGCCTACTAGAATCCCCCCGCCAAAAAGTCTAATTGCTCTTTTTTTACTCAACGACCTTTTTCATTATTTCATTATATATAATTCAGTTTCTCTCAACCCATTTTTACTTTTTTCTTTTTAAATGCGAACAGTTTTTGTTAAAAAGTTTTGAAGATGCAAATGAAATTCAATCTTTTCTTAATTGAAATGGGTTGTAGGCTCTACTTAATTTAGTAAGAAATGAAGAAAGCAGTTGGGTTTTAGGGCCATTTGGATGTTTTAGTTGTAACTAATTTCTCTATCCAAATCATTCATTTTCATTTTCTAACTACCTACTCGTTTGAAACTGCTTCTATATGACTCACTTTTTGTTAGTAAGCACTCCAAAAAATTTGTTCAAATTTTAAATGCTTCTCTGAAAAAATACATGAAAGTACATTCTAAAAATATACGTACCAAGTGCTTCTCTAAAAAGCGGTTTTATGGTCTAAAATCACATTGGATTTTTTCTACTTGAGAAGCACTTTCAGTTATTAGAAACACGCTCTACTAAAGGGAATTGAGTTGTTCGTTTTTTTCCTTCCTTGGTGCCACATTTAGGAAGGACAAGGAAAGAATCTTTACTTTTGAGACCTACTCTGAAACTTAGAAGCCAGGAAATCGTTCCCAAAAGAATAGCATTTCAATTCTGGGACGACTGAAAGCTTAGAACAAGGGGTTTGCCGTCTCCCTTCCCTCTTTCCCATTTCCTTGTATTCTTGTCCTCTCGTAGCTACCAAAGCCCATTGTTAATGGTTCACCCAGGAACAAAATAATGCTTTGCCTAATCAGTTTCAACTCTCCAACTCTTATTATAATAAATAATAGTTTTACTATCATGGGAGCAACCTCCTGAATTCCATTTGAGACCAATCTGATCACCAATTATTACATCACCTCTTGGTTTTACACAAAATTCTATAATGCCATTACAGAATTATGCACAAAAAAGAGAGACCAAAATTCCAATACCCATTGCTATTCTCGGTTTGTTTTTATAAGGCTATTCTCGGCTTCTATGGTCCCTTCCCTTGTAATCTATATGTAACATTTTTACTATAAATAATGAAAAATTCAAAACAAAAAACCAATACTTCCAGGTCAATTTCACAACCTGCGGATTTCTTCTTTGAAAGGTAAACCAGAACCTAGAATCTATTGTATCCTCCCAAACTGGACGAATAATATGGTGTCAAAACATGGTGAATAGAACATGAAACCTCAGAGGCAAACAATCCTGTATCCATCTCTGCTGTATATGTGGTATAAACACCTGCACACGAGAGAGTAAAGCATTCAAAAGAAGGATTTTGTTCTCATTACACGTCCAGGTCCCGTCATGTCATCTATAAATTTTCAACACAAAAAGAAACCTCATAGAAATGTACAAATTCTCAAGACGTGTTGGAATGTGACTGCATAGAGGACTAATTCAGGTACAAATTACAGCTCAATAACTGTGTAATCTCATCATCAACAGTTTATGCATCCCTAAACAAGGTCTCATAAGATGAATCATAATTCTGAAACTCATGTTTCAAGTATATATAAGTTGGTAGGAAACGGCTGAATATACCAACCTGAACAACTATAGGTGAAACATTCTGACATATAATGACAGTCCAAATTGTCGGATGTTTGGGCCCATCCGATCTTCACAAGTATATATTAAAGCATCCTGTTTCCGTGTGAAAGGAATTATCAGATTTGGTCCCAGTTTTAGGACCACGACCATCAAGAAAAAGAGTCAATTCTATAAGCCACCTGTGAACCACCTGATCCTGTAAGATTTTTGCACAAAACAGTCAGTGTTCCATATCACTAACAAAAATATGAACGCAAAAACTTGACGTGCTAAGCTGACACGAATTAGACTTGACCAAGACCCTTTTTTATCCATCCTAATATAAGTTATCAAGTTTTAACATAACACGAAACCAGACGAGCATCTTTGTATGTTAGTAGTCTAGTAGAACTTTAGAAGCAGACAAAGAAGCTTCTCTGTCCAGCTTTCCATGGATGACCAGAATCACCAAAAAGTCTAAATTAATAACACAAATATCTAAAAATAAATATATCACTCAAAGTGTGATGGAACATTTGTGGAAAAACATACCTTCAGGAAAAACATATGAAAGATTCCTATTTGCCACAAGTAGAAACGGCCACTGTCAGAAGGGATTCTGTTGAATTTAGATCCAAGAATTTTGACTTGCATGCCAAGATGACAATGTTGCAATATGCATGGTCAAAGTTTATACAAGAGGATAACTCAGTTCCCCCTCGTCAGCCACTTCTGGTAAATGCCAAATGCCATGTCAGGCTCCATAATTTTGCAGTACTGCTTGACAAGTACCTTAAATGGAACATGATCGATAGGTAACCCCGATGCCTGTATATTTTCAAAAAGCTCTTCTGCCTTCTTCATGTTACCTATCATGCAGTACCCTCTGATAAGTTCAGTGTAAGTAATCATATCGGGATCAAGTCCTGTTATCAGCATTTCACGATATAACTGCACTGCGAAAAGAATGTCGCCTAAGTTACAAGCAGCACCTATCAACAAATTATAAGTGACCACATTAGGAAAAAGACCAGACAGAAGCATTTCCTTTTTATGAGAAAGAGCACGAGTAATATTTCCTTCTTTCACTTGGGCGTGGATCAATGCATTGTAAGTATACACGTTTGGTTTAACACCAAAAGCGAGCATCTGATCCTTAACAGAGAATGCAGTAGTAAGATCCCCATATCTTCCATAACAATCAATGACAGTATTCCATATTAGAGTCTCAGGCACCACTGACTTCTCTAGCATATGAAGAAGAAACTCATTAGCTCTGACAACATCTCCTTTACTACATAGGCCCCGAACAAGTATTTTGTATGAAATTTGATCGGGAGTAACTCCCATTCTTGACATAAGTCCATGGACGTAACAAGCCTCCTCTAACTTTCCTCCTTTGCAAAGACCACTTAAAATTGTATTATAAGTAAAAACACTAGGAAGTATTCCTCTTTTGATCATTTCACAAAGGTATCCATAAGCAAGGTCCATGTGTTGACTCAGACAAAATCCATGAATGAGAACATTATAAGAAAGGACATCTACTTGGATATTCATTTGGACCATGTCATGCCAAAGACTAAGTGCCTGAACCATACTTCCATTTTTAACATAACCATCCATAAGTGTAGTTGAGATGACTAGATCTGATGTTGTCTTGTCATTATCATCATCTAATACGTCTTCTAGAAGCTTATTAGCATTCTCCATAAGGCCTTTCTTGCACAATGCATGTACAATTATATTGCAAGTGATTCTATTAGGCCTAATACCACTGTTACCCATCGTGGATAAAAGATAAAGAGCTTTATCCACATCATTAAGGCGGCAATAACCCTTAATAAAAGTGTTGTACGTGGCACAGTTGGGAGAGGGGCCATTTTCTAACATCTCCCTAATAAGCCAATCTGCCTTCTCCAAGTCACCAGTTTTACACAGTCCATTTAATAGATAATTGTGTGTCAAGATATCAGGAACAATGCCTTTCTTTATCAGTTTTCTCCGAAGCCAAAAAGCAGTTCCCAACTTACCATCTATACATAAAACCTTTATGATGGCCATGCAATCTGTGTAATTAGCTTTCAAAGTGCAATCCAAAAAGCCTATATTTGCCGTAGATATGCCTTCCCTGCAGATTTTCACATAATTAACAAAAGCTTGTTATGAACTATGAAATATGTATCTGTATTTGAGCATTTCCCCTATCCATCAAATAAGATTTTGAGTTTGATCCTAAGAGTACATAGACTGAAAGCTGACCTCATCGTTTTGAGACGTTCCAAACTATCCCTCAACATTGCATCCAACACATTGCAAACTGCGTGTGGATCTTGTTTACCGCGGGAATTCTTCTTCTTTGAAAACCAATTTTGAGCACTCATATGGTAATTCTCGTCCCATTTTTTCCTGAAATCCTCAAAAGTGGATGGAAGTAGATCCTTACCCCGACAAGTCCTGCATATGAATATTACAAAGCAAATAATGCATATTAGCTTCTTCTTCTTCTTCTTCTTTTTTTTTTCTTTACAAAAAGGCAAATGTGCTGAAATTTGAGAGCACTACGAGGTTTCTAGCAATAAATAATGTCCTCTGTATTAATTCTTTAGCTTTCTTTTTCCTATTTTTTTACTCATTTTCGCTGATACAAACAGCAGATTAATAATAAGACTATAAAATGACAAGCAATAATATCATCTGCATCAATATGTATAGGCCTTTTCTTCATCTTTTATAGCAGTTTTTCTCGGCAAACAAACAACAGACTAAGAGTAAAGTGTAAGACTAGAAAATTAAAATTTACCAGGAGCTTTCATCAGATTTAGCTTGGCAGCACAAAATGTTAACAAAGATGCGAGCAATGTTGTGCTTGATAGAGTCGAGGGTTCGATTCAAACATCTCAGAAGGGTAATGTGGGACGGCGACGATTCTCCACATGCGATTACGAGCTGTAAAAACCCAAACAAACAAACAGATGAACAATCGACGATGTAAACAAATGTGAAATGACGATTTATGGGATTCAACTCACTGCCATTGGAGCTTTCTGTGAAGAAATTGAAGGTTTTTGAAAAAGAAGAAGAAGCCCCTTTCTTCTATCTTCTTCTTCTTCTTCTTCTTCTTCTTCTTCCTTGACTCCGTAACTAAGTGTTTGTGACTGGTTTTTGTACGGATTAGTTTTCTCCTGAGCGAGGTTAGCCCCGGACGGCGCGAGTTTTTGGAAGATCCAAATGGTTCATGTGCTGTGTTGAAGATTGAAGAACCCGAATGCACAGGTAGGGGCGGGTCGGAGGGTAATTTGGGTCAAATCGGGTTCAGCCCCATAAGTCGGGCCCAAATCCAGCTTCTTATTATCTCTCTTTTCTTTTTGGATAAATGTAATACTAACATCTTCACACACGTTTTCGCCTACGAGAGATTTATTTTTTTAAAAAAATAATAATTTATTTTAGAATTAAAAAGATAATAAGTAGTTGTGTTCCATAAAAATAGGATTCATTATTTGATTTTTCTTTTAATTTTAATTTTTTTTAATATGAAAAAGTGTGAAGTTACTATATTATCCTCATTTAATTAATAATTTCAATTCTTAATATTTGCATTAACCAATGACATTTTCTGGTATTTTTAATGTTTTACCATTCTTTGTCTGTTGTTATATATAGATTAAGCTATCTTAATATTCCGCCAACTATAGTAAGTTTTTTTTTTCTTTTTATCAAATAGTTATAAGCCTTTACATCAAAATCATATATAAAGTTGGGTTAGGCTATAGATTCGGATTATTAACAATGATTACAATTTACATCGGATCATTAAACCTAGTTCAAAAATCGAACTACGAATTTGAACCACTCTAACTTGAACTCAGATTACATAAACTTAACCCAGATGCGATCAAGTTAATTTCTTAGTCTATGATTCCGACTAATCATGTTTTCTTCTGGTCACTCAAACAAGTTTAAATTCCTAATTAGGTCAATGAAAGTTTCGAATTAGGTCCGAATGAAATCAAGTTAAACAAAGGTAGCAAATGAAAAGTGGGGGCATACACATTTGAAGGTTTAATAGTAACAAAATATATGCATCTCATTTTCAGTACATACTTTGAGAAGGATAAAGATGTATAGTAAAATCCTTTCAAGTTTCAACCCAGATTTATCTCCTCTGCCCTTTTGTTTGTCTTCCTCCAAAATTGGTGCCTCTGGCAGCCAAGGCCTTGTCCTGGTTTTGGTGCCTACTGGTATTTCCAAACTTGAGAGGCACAACCTGCTTCATATATGCCCTTCCAGGAAAGTTTCTTTCTTCTTTTGTAAGTGATTCTAGTTGAGGCAGCCAATACGTGACATACTCACCTTCGGGGTCATATGTCCGCGCCTGGAAAAAATATAAGAGCATCTTAGGTACAGAAAGTGTTTATAAAGCTGTTGTAGCTCCAAACATAATTCATCGAAAATTTTGTGAAAAACTATGCACTCTGTCATTTGAAATCAGGTCTCATATTAAGAAAATATAACGAGGCAACGTATTGTGTACTCACTTGTTTCGGAATACTGAAGTAACGATCTTCTCTGGGGTCATTTCCAACTCCTTAACAGGATGAACAAATGATAAAATGTTGATTAGTATTAAACCAAAATAGTTAAGTAATTACAATCCTAAAGCATGTGGCTACAATTATGAAGGAGACCTTGGTTCTTTATAATTTTATGATCATCGTCTGCCAGGAGTGTTTACCCAACACAGAAAGTTAAGAGAGAGGCGTGCTAATACTTTTTTAACAGAAACATGCATACATGGAAGTAAATAAAATGATGAATTTGAAACCACCTGCTCCATAGGTCCAATTCCCGTAATTGGAACAAGGGTCATAATCCAAAAGGCATGTCTCAAACCATTCAGCTCCCATTCGCCAGTCAATACCCATATCACGAACTAGAAAGGAACATACAATCTGTAGAATAATAAATGAAGTATTGATTATTTTCAAGACTATGCCCGATTTTCCCAGAATAATAACATTAAAGGTTAAAACAAGAAGTTTTATGGCAGCAATGCATAAATATACTATATACCATTCATAGTGACAGTTTACTTTGGAATTACCTGCCTTCCCCGATTCGACATGAATCCCGTGGTTGATAGCTCTTTCATGTTGGCGTCTATTAGAGGGTACCTAGAGGTTTAACAAGCTCTGTATATCATTAGCAGAGCAATTACAAAACACTAATAGAGAGAGAGAGAGAGAGAGAGAGAGAGAGAGAGATATATATATATATATATATATTTTCCGTTTTGTTTTTCATAAAGATTATGGAGATATAATATTCATCATCTAGCTCTTGGGCAAAGCAATGTACCCTGTACGACCATCTCTCCAGGATTCAAATAAAATCTTGTCTTGGCTCCATCTATGCTCCACATTTCTTGGGCCACCTTCAAAAAGGCCAAAAAAAGACATGACTGCTAAGAAAGAGAAGTAGCGAGAATTGAAATCTCTACAATGATATGTTAAAATAAGTGGCTTGCATGTGCCGCGCAGCAACAAACTGTTTAGTTAACATAATTTTACTAATTTTCTTAGGCCTTTTTTTAATACTTTGACATGATTGAATATTAAAGCAATCAACTAAATTACCTAAATGGAAAAGGGAATTCCCATATTTTGCTGATAGAAACCTGAAGTAATCCCTCCATATCAATTCGAACAATACCCTGTTGTGATGAACATAGATTTGAAAAAAAAGGAAAAGACAAAATACAAGTTCAACACTGCTTGAAGAATGGTTTCTGTTGTGCTACCTGGGGGATCTATATACCTTTGTTTCAACAAAGAAATTATATATTGACAGCATTTTGTCCTCCAAAAGTTTCATTCTAGTTCATGCAACTGAGAGAGAGAGAGAGAGAATTACCAGTATGTTGAATCATTTGCTTGCCTTACTTTTTCATACCTCTTTACCTTAAGGAATCAATTGCCAAAATTAGTGTCAGTTTTCTCAATGTCATGTAGTCATATATAGAAAGGAACATAATAACCAAGAATTTCAACCTCTTCATCAATGAAACGAGGAGAAAGGCTTCCTGAAGCAAGCCATGGAGAAAATTTTGTCGAATAATCAGGTCCTAACATCCCATTTCTGGTGTGTTTATATATCCTTAACAAATCCTACACATGAAACACATGAGAATAAGTCAGATAACTAAATTACTCTATTAACACTGTTCCTTTGAATATTATAAAATGTGTTCAAATAAAAAGCCATTCTCCTCTATTGGACATTTTCAACATCAACATATATATACATATATAACTTAAAGATTCCTCTTGCCTTCTTCCAGAAATACTCGTTTACTCTGCCCAAGGCTGCACTTTCACCCCCCACAAACTTCATTCCTTTACTTACCTGCATCCAGAGTATGTAAAAGGAACTTCTCAAATTTCTTAATAGACAAAGTATGAAATATGTGCCTGTATACTTGTATGTATGATATAATAACCTACATTTGGAGATTGAAGTCCAAACTGATCTAATGAAGGAACACATCCCCAGTCCCCAATGCTGGGTGGTGGCCCAAGAGATGCTGGAAGTTTGATGCAGCCACGAACTGCGCATTTCGCTTCAATTGACTGCAAGTTTTCGGTATCATCGATAAACACAGCTAACAGAGAAAACCTCCCCCAGTTATATAGATTTGAAGTAAAATGAACTTGAAAGAAATCTACATGCCTTACGAAACTGCGTATACACATCCGGTAAGCTGAGGGTGTCGAATGGGAGGTCATCTATGTGGTACATAGTGGTACCCCATAAAAGTTGTAGCTTAGGATTGTTTGTAGAACTAGGCCCAGAGGATTGCGCTGAAGACGATGGTAAAACCACTCGTTGCAGACCTTTTCTGACCAATCTTTCGACATTTAGCTCCTCACTGCAAGTTTCTTTTTGGGCATATACCTAAATAGATTAGATTACATACCAACATTCTGCTGCTTTAATAAGTTGAAAAGAACATAGCAAACTCATTCTACCAATCAAATAGTGTCGAAATCACTTAACTGTGTGGGCTCCGAAAACCTTTGCAAGAGAAGGGAGAATCTCCTCAGGCTTCCCATGTTGAATGAGCAGGTTAAGACCCCGCTTCATTAAATTTTTCTTCAAGTCAGCCAAGCACTCAATGAGAAATTGCGCTCTCAACGCTGCCAAACAAGAAAATTGTATGACATTTCAATTCTGCATCATTCTATGTTACAAGGAGATTTTGAACACAGTAGCACAAGCCCAAATGAGAACAAAATTCCAAACATTTCACAGCCCAGGGTAATAGAAAACAAGCCAAAAGTCCAAAAACTTCAACTAGGAAGATCAAAAATTTGAAATTCTTGTAATAAAATAAAATTGGTACCTCCAGTTTTGGGAAAACCAAAGTAATGGGTAGAGCCAAAAAGCCTGGGATCAACGCAATACACAGCCAAAACCTGCTGGGACGAAATCCAAGCCTTGTAAAGAGCCTCATTGTCCAGCACTCTGAGGTCGTTTCTGAACCAAACGACAGCCACACCTTTGCCGTTTCTCTTGACAGAGGAGGACGAGTACCTCTGAAAGGTTTGGTCCGCAACCCGGTCCATTTCCTCCGGGTCTAAACCCGGAACCTTGTAGACCGGGGCAGAGGGTTGGGATTTGGAGCTGGAACTCATTGCTTGGAAAAGATTGAGTCTTTTGGTTGAAATTGTGGGTTTTGGATATGGGAATGGGAGGATGACGAGCTTTTTCAGACAGTAGGGAGCGAGTGAGGAGTGAAGAACAGCCATGCAATGTTGTGAGATCGAGGGAATGAGAGAGAGAGAGAGTTTTAGGCTGTTGTGTTGCTGACACGTGGCAGAGAGTTTGAATTTGTAACGTGGCGGTTTGTAAGCCAGTGGAGGGAAGGACACTGATTTGCCTTCAAACCTACCGTTAGGTCCGTTATTATTGGCGGTAATTTCATCTTATTGTGTCAAAACCTTATTTTTTTTGGTTAAATAAATAGAGTTGAACAAAGACCTGCTATTTTCACCCTTTTATTATCCAAATTTTACCATTGTAAAAAAATAATAATAATAAAATAAAATTTGACGAATGAATATTAAATTTTAAAAAAACTGTAAACGATTTTGATAAAAATTAAAGCATATCTAACAAAAAAAAAAAAAAAAAAACTAGTAACAAATCAAGGTATCAAGATTCGTATAATACACTCTGTTTCCTATAATTTGAACATGAATGATCAATAGTGATGTGTTGTATTAAAATTCAAAACTTTGCCATGTGAAGCTAAAGGTTCACAGAAACGATCTATCATGAAACTCCTTTAATACCTGTAATTTCTTTCTCATTGAGGTTTAATCCACTACATTACTGAGAGTAAGAAAAATAGTGTATGAATTTCAGAACTATAGAACAATTTAGTTCCACAAACCCAAATACACGTTTAAGCCACCAGCAACCGTGTCAGTCCAGTGTATTACTCTTACTCTGAGGTATATGTTGCCGATGCCCTACATCAGTTGAACCAAGTCACTCAAACTTAACTCAAGCAAGGCAGACAGAGTAATCATCTGGAATGAAGAAGGGGAATACCTGTTAGCATTGTTTAGAATAGGAAACGAAAGGCTAACGATGATAGTTCTGTCCTTTCAGAATAGTCCACGACCTGAAGTAAATTGATAAACATGGATTATCTAGTCATTCAGCGTGATCTGACATTATCTTATTTAAAATTCAAGCATTCCTTAACTTATTTAATATAATTTATCCTTAATATTTGCTTTAAGCTGGAAATGATTTCCTTGAATACTTTTCAGAAGTCGGCATTTCAGTAATTGGGAACCGCATGATTTAGAAGTCAGCAGATCAACGTACTCTTACCTATAGAGTTGTTCTACGAGCACAACTATTGCAATTTGATGGTTTAATACCATAGAAGACAGCTTGACAGAAACATCAGCACGCTCTCGCAATCGTTTTCCATGACCATACGGTCCACCAATGCAGAATGATAGTCTTGAAGCTCCCTACAGACAAAGGAACAATAGTGTTATCGGTAAAAAGTTCTTGAATTTTCGTGCTAAACTTTCCTCTGCCAGCTCAACATACATACAAACAACATATATTAAGAATGGATGAATTTCAAGCATGCACACTATCATTCTTGAATCACAAAAATGAGAGGTCATTCATACTGTATTTCCAGCATCCCCCACCAACTCAGCCATCTGCTCGGACCCTATGTCTTTCCCACGCTCATCCAACAGCACAACCTACGAGCTCAAGATTACAAAGTGACAATGTAGAAACAAGTATAACCCTTTTAGCATATAGTTTATAACAGCTTTGATGAATTCCACCAAAATGGAATGGCACCACTTTCCCTTTCCAGAGCATCTGAGAAAGGAAGTCATTTCTACAATGGATTTAGAATAAAAGAAATTTAGCCTTCAGCATGATAATAATTGTTAAATAAATCCATAAGAATCGGAACCTCTTTTTTTTCATGGAAATTCTATATGTAAGAAAAATCAAGCTTGACGAGGTAAGCATTTAAAAACATGTGCCGAAAGGGTAGTAGAGATTGAGTTGGTTCAGGCTCGGTAGATGAGCAGATCAAGGTAATGGCAGAACATTACAAAGAAAAGGTATCCAGAGCAAATTTTTTTATGTAAAGGCAAGACTAATTCTCCTACTATTGTGAGAAGTTTTCATCCAATTAAGATTGAGTCCATATGATGCTCAGACTGTACCCAATCATCAGACCTGATAAGATCCATAACAGCACTGTCTTCATGATCAACCTGAGCTCTCCAATCACTACAATGTACAAGAAAACTAATATAAGCTCTACAAAAAGAAATGATCAGATGAAACCACAATATGAATATTTCCTCCATGCGTCCAATGTCAATAATTTTCTCACAATATTTTTTTTTTGGGGTGAACTTTCTCACATTATTAATGTCCAGTTTGCAGGAAAGAGGTCTATGCATATCCAAGATAAAGATATATATATATATTCACATTAACTACAAAGATTGTGATGATTTAGATGAAAAAAATGAGAGTACCGTGCATTTTTAGGATTGTTCCGTATGTGAGCATCTTCAACACTACAGTAGAGCTTAAGCTTTTCAATGTACTCATCCACTACGAGTTGTACACCTTCTGATCTCTTTTTCCCTATTGATATTATTCGTATAGGGAGTGCTCTCTGCCCAGAATCAATATCACATTTAATCAGAATGAGAACCTACTAGTTCTAGGTCCAATAGGTGTAATGATCTGTTGATGCAACACAGAGTAGCCAAATGCTCAAAAGAATGACAAAATCAAATTCATTAAGCAAACTGATACTTCATAGCTAACATGATGGGTGAATTTCGATTTAAACAGATACGCAAATTACTCAAAAAAGGGCCAACAAAATCAAGATCATTGAGCAAACTGATAAATCCTTGCTAAACAGTGGATGGGTTGTCGGTTAACAAAAGTTGAACTCATAAATCATATAAATATAGTTTTCGTTCCAGAGATAAAACTTACTGTTTCGCAATGTAATAAATCCAATGATGGCAGATGTAGTATCAATCACTGATTCGGTACGAATAAAGAAATATTTGAAATATATACATTATAAAAACAAAGGATATTAAATTGAGGTGGAGATAGTTTACCACTGCTTGACCTGTGTACTTACAATCTCTACCTGAAAATTGTAAATGAAATCAAGTTCATAAAATGACAAACTTGAGATGAGATAATGCAGAATATAATAGGGCTGCTAAGGTTTTGAGATAACAGTAACCTGAAGGAAGAGCATAGTTAATGGTGGGAAGACGGGCACTAAGCATGACAACCATTTAGAAGGGAAGAAAGACCAAAAAAATGGTACTTCTAGCTCCAAATTTGTACAAAATTTACCCTGAAAAAGAAAAAACAAGAATGTGAACGGTGATTTATGAAGATGTCGTAGGCTTTGTGTATTGAATACTTTTAGGCAAATGTAAAACCACTCTGGTGACATCCTATTCCTCAATGAAAAATGGTACTTCTAGCTCCAAATTTGGACCAAATTTACCCTGAAAAAGAAAAAACAAGAATGTGAACGGTGATTTATGAAGATGTCGTAGGCTTTGTGTATTGAATACTTTTTAGGCAAATGTAAAACCACTCTGGTGACATCCTATTCCTCACTGAAAAATGTGAGCATTGCCATTCTTCTCATTTCATAATACACAAAATGCAGGCACATGGTTTTGGTGAGATTATTAGCCATAATTACTCTTTGCTTATTTCATAGGAAAAAGCTCTGAACAATAGGAAATTCCGATATGAACTAGTTTCATATGTTTCATGTTTGGCAAGGGAGAAAAAAATAGATAAAACGAACAAAATTACTCTTGCTTATGGTTCGATGGAAGACAAAGAAAAGATAAAATCATGGGCCCTTGATGCAAAAATGTTCTACATAATTGGTTGCCAAAATCTAGCAAATGATATGCCAAACCAAACTTTGCAGCAAGTTAACAATGAGACAAAATATGGGGAGATGATAAAAACCAGATTATCCTAGGAACAAATACCAACCTTAAGTTTGAAGGAGCCAATTGGGCAGTGCCCAGTTCAACAAAGAAACATAACTCAAATACTGATATTAAGCTCTCTCTCTCTCTCTCACAATTAGCGTTAAGCGACGGCTTTTCACGGCCCTGAGCGAAACCGCCGAGAGTTCAACAGCAGAAGCAAAGCTTCTAACAAAACCCAAAAGAATTTCTGGGTTGCTGATAGCCTCATAGAACGAGCTTCTAAAATGATGAGACGTTGGGTTAGAGCAGGGGAGAGACTCTGGGTTGGACTTGTATTTTGAATTGAAGCCCATTACCCGCTGATGTAGGCCCAAAACTCAATGTGCGTGCATGTCCGTTGGGGAAGAGGAGAGAGAGTTTGAGGAGTTTCTAGAACTAGGGGTGGGCATCTTAAATTGAAATACCGAAACCGTACCCTAACCGCACCGTACCATATCGATTTCATACCGTTTCATTTGGTATGGGGAGATATTCGGTACCGTACCGTACCATACCAATAGAATATGGTATGGTAGCAGTATCAAGATTTTGATACCGGTCAATACCGTACCGTACCGAATAGTATAACTTTATGTTTTTGTCATTTATGTTTGGATTGTGTTTGTATTTTTGTAAGCCATAAGGCATAATTTTAACTATTTTGGTTTGTAAGTCATAAGGCATGAGTTTTAACCATTTGGGTTTGATGAATTTGTTGATGGATAAATATTAATTTGGTTGATTTGGATATTGAATATGTTGATTAGGATTTGGATATTGAATATGTTGAATCTTTGAATTTATAACTTAGGCATCACTTATTTTGGTGTTGAATATTGAATTGATTCATTTTTTAGTTGTATCATTTTGGTATGGAAATGATACCGATACTGTACCGATACCGATTTGGCACGGTATGATACGGTACCAGTTTTAGCAAACCATAATCTCATACTGTACCATATCGATTTAAATTTCCGGTATAGGTAGCAGTACGGGCTCAATACAGTACCATACCGTACCGTGCCCACCCCTATCTAGAACCTACGGCCCTGCATATTACATATTTGCCATAATCACAGAATTGAAGGGTTCGACGATCAATTCTCATTCTCTCGCGTAATCTCTTCCTATAGGTAAAGATGTCTGCTTTTGATAACGTAGTTGTTGTTGGGAAGCTGAAGCTGAAAGGAAAACCCTTGGCCGTGAAAGGAGGTGGGGTTTCAAAGAAAAATAAGAAGAAACGCAGCAATTATTATCACCAATTGTCTCAAGCCTCGCAAGGTTAGTTGATGCCCTTCCCTCCTTTTCTAATTCTACTCAAATTCTTATTTTCTGCGTTGCATTGCACGTAATCTGATATTATATTCTTGAAATTTTTATTTTTATTTATTTTTTTGGGTGTTCTTTTTGAATTTATGGTCCCATTGAAGACGGGATTGGTAGGTGGTGATTAAAATTTACAAATATGAATGAACCCTTTTCCAATTTTGTGGTAAAGTTTTGATCTTTTTTGTTTGGAGGTTGTGAGTTTTGTTTTGCTAATGGAGAAATCAATTTTTTGTTTTGGAGGGTGATAGGTGGAGAAGCAGTGATGATGGATGATACTGAGAATGACGGTGGCAGAGGACAGGCTGGGGCTTATGATGATCATCTGACACCCGCGGAGAGGCGGTACCTCCAACAGACAGAGAGGATTCAACTGCAAAAGCTTGCCAAGATGGCCAAAAAATCACATCGCGATCGGGTTCAGGAATTTAATCACTGTCTGGCAAATCTTAGTGAGCATTATGACATTCCCAAAGTAGGCCCGGCTAACAACATCCCCTTTCTTCTTTTTTGTCAATTTGAAATTTTGGAATTGCATTTTGATTGTTTGGACCTCAAGAAACCTTTTTGTGTTACTACATTTTTTTTAGAGAAGATTGTCTACTTTTCCTTTGTCTGCTGCAACACCTCTCACTTGTTTTGGATCAAGCAAATTTTCATGTTTTAGTGTGTTCGTGATCATGTTGATTGTATCTTTCGAAATCTAAGGCCCAACTTTCCGTTGATCTAACATGTTCAGTCGTATCAAAGTAGCTTCAAATGTACAATAATAGCATTGAGATATCACACATCTGTTTGCATCATTAAGCGTTACATTTTTCATGGAAAACGGTTCTTGTCTCACAATAACCATTTCAAGTGGAATTACCACGTCTTTGGAAAACAAAAAGTGAACCTTTAGAGCCCTTCCCCAACCTGACCTTATCATCTATGTATGTGATCTGGAGTTTAACCTCGCTTTCACCGCCGTATCGGAACTCCAATGCACCAACCTTCAGTTCTGGTGGCTCGAATATAACTTGGATCCATTTATTGTCTAAAGCCTTCAACTTTCCTGCTCGTGCGTGCAGAGATGAGAAGTTGAGAACACTCAATCAAGTAGAAAAGGGAACAAGCTTATGAAAACATTAGCATACGAAACTTGATAATGTGATTTTTTGTTGTTGTCAAAGGTAGGTATGTGAGGTAAAGAATAACAGAAGCTTACAACAACAGATTAGATTTCATGCAATGTTCAATAAAAGGAGTTTTGTTCCCAACCCAACCATCACTGATCAGACCAGAAAATGAGAATGGTGTTTAAAGTTCAAACTAGAAAGCAAAGCGTATAATCAGGAAAAAAATTTCAAACATCGGTACTATCTTAGCCTCAGCAGCCTACCTGTTAAAGAGACTTCCCCATCCAAGAACCCCAAAGCAGAGAAGGAGACTTTGTTTTTGACAATGTCAGGAGCTTCAATAACTTGAATCATCTCCTTCGTTTTAAAAACAAGGCGGCCTAACGTACTTCTGTAGCCACCCCCGGGTGATGTTGGCACTGAACAGTACACCACATCCCAATCTGTGAAAGCACTAGATTAAATCATCATATGACCAACAACAACAAAGAAATGCATACCATGTAATAGTAATGAGTAGATTATCATATATGTTACACAGAGCCAAACAGTTGCTCATGCTAATTTTCAAAAACAAATGCCAAGGCAGTTGTGGTAATTGTCATTGTTGTTTTCAACACCTGGATAAAGTTGAAAATCATATGTCATATGGATGCTTGTTCTTCAACTTTTAACTTCTTTGAACTTTGAAGTCAAGACTAATTTTGAACTAGGAGTTTTGAGTTTTGGCCACAATGCTTCAGCCCAAAAGTTAGGCTGTAATATGCATCTCCAGAAACAAAGTCCACACCTTAATGGGATTTACCTCCGAAAATAAGAGGGCATTTCACTGGTTCACTAACGCAAAAGCTCTGCAATTTCTCGGCCACTTCAGCTACCTCTTCTTGTTCTTCCTTTTTCAGCAAAACTCCTCTATCAGAATGTGTCACCTGATTCAGATCATAAGTCATATTTCATGAGTCAAATATAAAATAAATAAAAAACTTGGCATAAACCACAAATCAAACTGCACGTACAATACTTGATACAGTACTAAATCCATTAACATAAGCCTATTAATTTTCCAACAAGGCAACAGTGAAACTAATATGGGTAAAAAATCACATTTTCTCAGCTACCAAACAACAAATCACGTTTTGTGCAGAATTGAAAAACCAAAAAACTAAAACATGGGATTGATAAAAGCCATACCTTGGAAAGAATAGACGCAGAGAGCTCTTCGGGACCGGTCAGCGCTTGGGGGTTGGAGACTGAAACAGAGGCCAATATCCTCAACGTTTTGTGCCGACGACAATGAGTGTAAGGTAAAATGGCAAAAGCCAAATTTGTGTGTTTTGAGCAAAAGTTGAGGAATTTAGGTTTCGAGGGCTCAGGGCCTCCTCTGAATGTGGAGGGTGACAAAGCTAACGAAGAGGTTAATGCAGCAGCCATGGAGGAAAGGCGGGGGGCTTCGACCAGATTGTGAAAATCTGCTAAGCGATTGCAGTTATCTGATTACAGGTGAAGTGGTGCCACGTAGGCAATGCAAATCAAAGGCGGGACCGCTTTGGTTTAGGCTATTGGTGTAGATGACGCCACGTATGAAAACTTTATTTCTTTGCCTTATCTAATTGGTCAGCGTTCCGAGCATTTTTTGTTTGTTTTTTCGGTCGAAGCGTTCCGAGCTTTTACCTTATGTTTTGTACGATTTTTCTTAGAACGCTGTTTGGCTCTGTTTGCCTCCTCTTCCTAGCTACAACTTACATACTACTATAAAAACTTTCTTGTAACGAAAATAACATTATTTTACTATTTTTGCCAATATAATGTAATGATACACAGAAAAGTTATCCCCCATGTCATTGCGCTATTGACCGAAGTAGCGAAAAGTGTTATTCCCGTTGCATGAAAATCTCTCTCTACATACTAAGCTCTCAAGCACATCAAATTACTAAATATTGATTCTTCTTACTTTTTTCTGTTTTTAAGCCATAAATATAATTACAACAAGGATGCCTACAATCCTAGTATCCTACTACCATACAACTCATACTTCAAACCATTTACTTCAGCTTCTATAACTAACTTAAAACCTAAAGAAAATGAACTTACAACCTTAGCATACCTCCTATAGTCTCAAATAACAAAACCAACATAAACTCTAAGAGCATTTTCACTAGGAGGCCCTAGCTTGGGCAAGAGGCTCCCTAGGCCAAGAAATGCAACTCCAACTGTACAAAACAGCCCAAGCAAGACGTGAGCTCCACCAAGCCTTGATAGGCTCGAAGGCAAGAATAGTCCGAGTTGTTGCTTGAGGGATGTGATGTCAGTGATGACGTTAGCAACGAATTTTTATAACAAAAATACAAAAAAAAAATCGGAATTTTTTATTTATTTATAAATACATAGCCATATTCTTCACTTCACACACCAAAAACTCTATACAAATTCATCTCTTTATATCTCATATGAATAGTGATTGCCATGACAATATATGAAAAACCAACAAAAAATTAATAAGGCAAGTGCTATTTATGTGAATAGTAAATATAATTGTCTTCTGCCATGACAAATGGGTGAAAATGCTCTAAAATCCCATTTAATTGCCTATTGTTGAGTTTTTATTTTTATGAGTTGAACCAGCTGAATATCCCAAAATGTTCACATTATTTACTGATACTGATAACATGTTTTCTATTTATTACTTATGTGTTTTTAATTATTGAATATTGAATGATAAATGCATTCATTTTTTACGTCCAAATACCAAGAGTGTTAAGCTCACTTCAGTAATTACAAGTGCTCAACAGCTAAGCTTATCTTATGAATATTGGTTGCAATTTTTTAAAGGGAGCTGATTTTCCCACTCCCCTTTCCTCCACTTACACTCCCTTTTGCTTTTTAATATTTTTTAATCAATTTTATTCTTTTTTTTTTTTTTTTTTTGTTTTAACCCCCGGGGGGGTCCGGGAGGGCCACTACTTAATGTGATTATTTACGAAAATGGCATGATTAAAATTAAAAGTTTTCTAATTGTTGTTTTTGCAAATGACATATCTTTTGTTTTTTTGTTTTTTTTTTTTTTGGTCTGAACCACGAGGTGGTCCTGGATGGGCTCCAACTATGGATGGCACCTTTAAGCCTTAACCACAACCCAGACTAATCCCCGCTCACACCGGGTCGGCCCGTAAGGAGTAAAGTGCTGGCCAAAGTGGTGACTCCATACAAGAGCAGGGATCGAACCCCTGACCTCTCTTAAGGAATGAGAGTGCCGAACCACTCACACCAACCACCTTGGTTAAAATATAAAAATATAGTTATACTTAAAAATAAAAATAAAAAACCATCTCTAGCCGCCACACCTTCTTCCCCAAACCCTCGCACCCCATCTTCTCCTCCCTACATGTCACCATCTCATCACCGTCACCCACCCCCACCTTACCCTGTCATCACCGCCAGTCGCCCCCACCCAATCCTCCCCTCTCAATTTTTTGGTTTGGTTTTTTTTATTTATTTCTTTTTCATTAAGCAAAAAAATTAAAAATTAAACAAATATCCCTTTCTCTCTCCCCGATAGTGATAGCCCAGAACCCCCAACCCCAGGGCCCTCATCTCCGCCATGTTTCAATACGTGGACCTCCACTTTGCCGCCGTGCCTCCTCCATTCATACACCAACCCAAGAGCCCCCATCCTAGTGGGTTGTTTTGTCGATTTCCTGAACTCGACGACAAAACAAGAAAAATTTCACACTCCATTGTTCCACTCCACCCCTCCTCCCAATTCGACATCGACGAGATAGAAAACCTAATCAACGCCAGTGTCCAATCTTGCCTTTTGGGTTTAGGTTCCTTGACGTCGATGATTTCTTCTTGTTATTCTCCATGATTGTTTGTGTTTTTCTGGAATGTAATTGAAGAAGAAGAATAGGAATAGATTTTTGGGTTTGTTTGATTTAATCTTTTTTTTCGGTTTTGATTAACAAAGAAGGAAAAGATTAATTTATTATTTAGTTTTTGTTTGATTTCTGGCTTGATAATTATGTTCAACAGAGTCCCACCCCCTCTCTCTTATTATTTTTTTTTTTTGGTCTGAACCACGAGGTGGTCCTGGATGGGCTCCAACTATGGATGGCACCTTTAAGCCTTAACCACAACCCAGACTAATCCCCGTTCACACCGGGTCGGCCCGTAAGGAGTAAAGTGCTGGCCAAAGTGGTGACTCCATACGAGAGCAGGGATCGAACCCCTGACCTCTCTTAAGGAATGAGAGTGCCGAACCACTCACACCAACCACCTTGGTTACCCCCTCTCTCTTATTAGTATCTCAAAAGTCTTCCAAAAAAATTTGCTTAAAAAAAAATTCTTATTTTATATTTGCTTTAAAAAAATTATTATTTATTTAGAAAAAGAAAAGGAAATAATATTAAAATGAAGTAAAAAGAAATTAATGTAGAATAAAGGTAGAATAGGAATAAAAAAAACAAAAAAGAATAAAATTAATTAAAAAGTATTAAAAAGTAAAAGGGAGTGTAAGTGGAGAAAAGAGGAGTGGGAAAATCAGCTCTCTTTTTAAATATGTATTTTCCTTTTCTTGTTGAGCCAATCAATCATATTATTAGGTTAACACAAAAAGGTTATATGAAAGACACCAAATTTGTATACTAAATTCAAATTTTAAATAGTACGTGAACAAACATATCAATACCTTATTTGTGTTACCTTTGATAGTATATATAGTATATAATGAGATATTCTCTAATAAGTATTAATTTAATGATTGATTACATACTTTTAATTTCGGTTGTTGAATTAAGAGATTACGAACACATTTAATGAATGTAATCTAACAACCTAAATGATAAGTATGTAACTAATTATTAATATAAAATACTTATTAGAGAATCCCCCCGCGTATGTAATAACACATAACATAAACTCAAATTTGAATCAATCAAACACATAAAACTTGGTAAACAAAGATGATGTCACTAGTAGTACTCAAAAGCTAAATTAGCAAATGACACCAAATAAATCCTCTCAATTAATTTTTAAAAAGCATGAAATTCATCCTTTTGTCATTTAGAAAGATGAGAGAAGTTTTTTTCTTAATTACATAAGAGAATAGAGAGTTGGATTTAAGAGATAAATTTTTAAAACTATAAAAACTACTTCTTACAAAATAATTATATAAAAAAACAATAAAAAATATATTTTTTATATTTATAGATACACATCAATCTGAAAGAAATAAAAAAACTATTTTATGTCTTGATGAGCGTGTCCGCATAAGAGAGAGAAATTGTGTGGACGTGGTTCGACCCCAAAAAAGCCTTTTCATTTCCCATCGGGAGTCACGGATCACTGCTACGCCGTACTCGCTCATCCATCGACGGCCTGCAGTCATTCACTACCCTATGAGCAAATCGTAGCCGTCTGTTCAAATACGCGATCAGTGAAAGCGCGGGAAAATGAAAAATTATATGCGAGCCATCTGTCAGGTACAAAAACCACACCACCCTCAGCCGGAGCGAGGCAGTTTTCCGTTTCGTTGCCTTTGCTTGTGAGAGAAGCTAAACGCAACTCTCTCTCTCTCTCTCTGAGCTCTGATACTCTATCAGGGTTTGTGGATTTTGTGACTATGGCGCCGAGGAAACGCAAGAATCAGAAAGAAGAGCCGGCCGAGGTGACCACGATGACGACCACGGTGGTGACTCACAGATCCACTCGGCGAGTGACTCGGAGCTTGACTCGGGGAGCTTCGAGTGCAAACCCGGTTGAGTCACGTTCCGAGTTGCCGGCGCGGAAGAAGTCCAAGGGAGCTCAGAAGAAGAAGGAGCCGAAGAAAGAGAAGGGGGAAGAGGTAGAGAAAGACGAAGCGGAAGCGGAAGGGGAAGATGTGGAGGAAGAGAAGGAGAAGGCCGAAGAGAGCGAGGAGGGGGCTGAGGCTGAGGGCGAGAAAGAGGAGGTCGAAGGAGACGAAGCTGAGGAGAATGATGGTGAGGTAAAGGAGGGGGCTGAGACTGAGGGTGAGAAAGAGGAGGTCGAAGGAGACGAAGCTGAGGAGAATGATGGTGAGGAGTCGAACAAGAAGACCATCGTGATTGAGCACTGGTGAGGCAATTTATCCCTCTGTATTCGTTTTGCCCTGTTTAGTTACTGAGAAATTTTCGGAATATGCAAGAAAATTTAATTTCGTATTACGCTTCTTGTTTTATTTAATTTTTAAAAATCTATTTGCTTATTCAGTTTTTATTCATACCATGGTTTTCGCTTTGAGATTTTGCTATATTCTTTCTTTTTCAATTTATCAGAACACTAGGGTTTCTTGAGTATGCTTTTATTTTTGGGGGTTTTATTATAAGTTGTAGATATTTTCTCAGAAAACTTATGACAATCAGGAAATTGGAATCGTAAGCGCTGTATTACGTAGTTGTAATGGGTATTTTATTTGTCTTGTTCTTCTGTTTGGTTACCAAGGAAAGATGAAACGAA